TATATTGAAGCCTAAGGTGTGACTTGGCTACTTTTCATATACGAATTATTATTATAAGTACCTACTAAAACAGTAATGGAAGAGTGAAGATGATTTTCAGAAGAATAAAATAAGAACTCAAAGCTTTAGAACTTGCAAATGCTATAATATATAATTCGTAGCCAAGTCAGACCTTAGGCTTCAATATATTATCCTAACTTGGCACCCATTTAGATCTCACTTCTTTTGTCGTTGAAGTCAACAACCAAGGCATATATTATAGTATTGAACTTGGCTCTCATTTTACATATATGTTTTTGGTGGGATATCATTAATTTTTGTATGTAAATTATTATAACCTAACCTAACCTAGCCATGACGTATTCTATAAATAAAGTTTATTACTATATAATATAATTCAGTTACTAATATTTATTATAAAATATTTTCCGTTGTATATACAGAGTATAAAATATATGTAAAATTAATATACAATTATTTTAACTCTTTTTGAGTATATTTTTAATTATCATAATTTTATTGACTGTAGTTTCTACTGTTGGGTGAATAATTCATAATTTGTAAGAATAATTATTTAATTATTTTAATTGTAATATTTAAAAAAAATAATATTAATTACATACATAGATAGAAAAAAAAAGTATGTCGCTGCGCGCGGGTCGACAATATCGACACATATTCGGCTAGTAGTATTTTTGGAGCGGCGATACAGGAAAGGTTATTTAAGTCAACATTACATTACATTACATTAAATTAGAGGCAATTCATTAATAAATTGAAAAATTAAACATAATAGATAAAATAATTACAAAATTATAATAAAATCAATTGATTAAAAAATTAAAAATTAAAAATTAAAAAATTTTAAATTAAAAATTTTAAATTTTCTGATTTTTTCCTTTGTATTTACCTAACTACCTATCTGTATGCCAAATTTGAACTTTCTAGGTCATCTGGAATTGGGTTAGAATTTTGATCTATAGGTAAGTCAGTGATAAAAATGACGATTTTCGGACGTTAATATCTAAATAACGGTTTGAAGTGTGTTTATGAAATTTAGAGCACATATGTATCTCGTTAGTCTCAATATATGAGCCAAATTGGACATGTTTATGTGGAATAGTTTTTGAGTTATGAGGGGGTCAAAAGTGGCTCCAAATGGTTCGTGTAATATTACACACGGTGCTGCTCGCCAGTTCTGTTAGCTAGAACTTGGCTTGACACGCTACCGCGTGTCTAGATTTTAATATTTATACTCTGTACATATTATTATTTATAACGTCTTACCTATAGTGTTTGAAAATTTCATGAAATTTAAAAAAATTAAATATTACAGTATTTTAATATATTTTGTTTTATTTTTAAATAAGTTTTATATTTACATATAATTGTCATAAATTACCTTCATCACTATATGGTACCTGTATGTATACCTAACCTTTGGTATTATACATTTAATTGGTATTCAAAATTTTTAAATATTTTAATGTTTAAATGATACAAGTAGGTATACAATATTATACATGTATATTGTACCTATACTTACTGAATTCTGACATTAGAATTTAGAACACTGAACATTGTGTTAAAAAAATAAATAAATTGTGTTTTTATTTGTGTTAAAAAAAATTTCAATGTTTCACGTTTTTGTGAAATATTTCTCATACTTCAAACACTACTTACCTATAACCAAAATAAACTATAATTTATAGTAGCATTAAAATGTATAATAATAACGAAACTGAATAAGCGATCTATCTACCAAAACAAAATTAAGAATATAATATATTAAATTATGGTTGTTTTTGCATAGTGTTGCATAATAAAATAAATGGATTAATTATAATATTATGTAATCAATTATTTATTACCTGCTATAACCATATCTAAATAATTCAGATCATTCAAAAAATTATTATCAATTACTCCGTTGTATTTAGATTTTGTCGATTTTATTTCTTCGCGTACTCGGTCTTGAATGTTTTTTTTCAATGCAAGTTCATACAAACAATAAGAAAGAGAAGTTGATGTAGTATCGAACCCAGCAGCAAAAAAACCAAAAGCATTTGATAAAATTTGAGATTCCGTTAATATTTCTAAAAAAAAAATTAAATATTATGATAGGTAGGTAGTACTAGGTACCATTAAATATTATAGGTAGTTATTTTAAATTTCAAAAAAAAATGTTACCATCTTTAGATGAATTTTCATTGGCTTGATGTGCTTGAATTAAAGCATGAACAATATCATTCCTCACTACATTATTTTTTTTTCTGTACATCATTGTTTCTTTAAATACTGATCCGAAAAAAGCAGTTGTGTTTTTTGGGAAAAAAGGAAGTCTTACAATTTTCAGAATAGCCGGTGAAATCATCACACATATCTCTCTTATAAAATAAAATATAGATGGTCCGAATGCGGTTTTTCCATAGCTACGAAATAAAGAAGTATCATCGCTTGTTACATTTAACGTCAGTCCAAAAGCACAACTACCGATAACATCTATTGAATATTTTCCCAAAATATCTCGTACATCAATTTCGTTGGGATTTTTCTTTAGCTCGGCAAAAATATTAATCATCATATCTTGGCCACACTTTTCGATTTGACTATACATCTGTTTAAGTTTTCCCGATGTGAACGCTGGGCTCAATTTAGTTCTAAGTTTTTTCCATCGAGGGTTTTCCATAAGAAACAGTACTTCTGACATGGGTTCGGCTTTAAAATCCACGTGAATACCACGATCGGTAAAATACGAAAAGTCCTTAATCAGTATGTTGTTAATGATTTCAGGATCTCGGATCATTAAGTACGGTGTCCGCATCTGAAACATACCCCCGTACTTGAATCCAGCTAGCTCGTAATAAATGCTCTTGTACGTTTCCATTGGATTCTCTATGCCTAGTGCTACTCTCAAGTAGTTGCCAAACAGAGGAATTGGACGGACGTAAGGCACATTGAGTTTTTTCCATACATTGAATGTCGAAGTACAATAGTAATAGATAATTGAGAATAATACTGTGACCAGTATAATAAAGTCCATCCAAAAGTTGGCAAAGATTAACATCGTTCAGATTTTTCTTTTTTTACTGGTATGAATGAAAATACTAAACAGAGATCAACTACACTACTACAGCGTATACTTGAATACAATTTAAGTAATGACTATCATAAAATCTTGTGCTTACATCTTTTATAAGGTCATATAGACTATAGGTACCAACCTAACACTTGAAACTCATATTTTACGATTAAAAATTTATGCAGTGCTCTAAAGTGAATAGTATATTATAATATATTGTACTAATGTACTATATATATATTTATATATATATATATATATATGTGTGTATCATTATAGTTTACTAATTTAAAGTTGTTTGATAAAATTTTCCGTAGGTATTAGATAAACACCGATAGTAAACTATACATTATTTTTTTTTAGTTAATAGATAGGTACGAGATTCCTAGTATAAAAATCAATTAAACTTATTTTAAATCACCAACAACTTTAAGTATTTAATTTAGGTTAGATATTTTATTTTAGTATTTGCATATACTTTTTAGTTTTTTTTTTCTATAAATATCAATAACATTTTATTTGTTGGTTAAAGAAGCTTGATAATTTGAAAGGCAGATGAAAAAAATTAAAAATCCATAGTCACAATTTTGTTTTATATAAGCATCTAAAGTTCAAATATTTACAAAATACATAAAAATTATTTTGAGTTATATAAATTCATGAACAATTTTCTGTTTAAATCTAAGATTTGAAAATGTAATACAAGATTGCTCATAAGTTTGTCTACCTTTATCAAAAAAAAAAAAAAATGTCTGCAAGAAAGTCAAATTAAATTTTTATGAGCGTTTGAAATTTATATTTTTACAACATTTGATATTCACTCGATTTCTCATGTAACGATTTTCTTATTTTGTTGTAATCAAAAAAACGAATGACTTTAGATACTTGAAAATTTCACTAAATGTTTATATTAGCATTTTCTATACACGATAAATTTTTGAAAATAATTTGACTTTTTTTGAGCTGTTTACGGACATCGTCAGTTTTCAATTTTTTTAGTTTTTTTTTCTATAAATATCAATAAAATTTTATTTGATAGGTTTAAGAGCTTGAAAATTTAGTGCAAGGCTCCTGATAGTATATTGTTACAATAGCAGTTGAAAATTATTAAAAATACATATGCACACTTTTTTTTTATAAGGATTTAAAGTTTGAATTTTGACAAAATGTATCAAATTTAAAATGTAATAATTATTTTGTAGTTAAAAATTTATAAAATGTTCAACTTTTATAGCTAAGGATTGAAAATTTAAAACAAGGTTCCACGTAAAAAGGTTATATTATATAAATTATTTTATTCACAATAATATATCATCAAATATACTTGGTAATATCATAGGCTGACCGACCGTTTTCGCTGAGAATCGTTTTTCTTATACAATCATATCATATCATTGAATACAAATTTAACATCATCCATTACAGTAACACATTTGTAAAATACTGTACAGCAGAGCGACATTCACTTATCCACCTTTTTTTAATTGAAATTACGCTAAATGCCTTAATTATGGTGGGGGCCGGGGGAGGCCCAAACATTTAAAATAGCCCGCCCTCGATGTTTTATCAAAACCGCCACTGATCAATTGCTACACTTGAACGATGTTTTCAAGTTTTTATTAAGTATTAAGTCTTACCTAATAAATAGTTTAACAGAACTGAATATTTTATCAATTTTCCTGTCTAATATTAAATAATAACTATAAATTGAGTACCTAGTAATTGTTATATTATACTCTGTTTATTAGAACCTACTTGTGTTGGCTTTATTGGCATGCACAGGTCGTTACAATAATTATGTCAGATGAGGTTATCGACGAACTGAGCATCCAAAAAAATAGAAAACTGGATTTTGTATTAAAACTATTTTTTTTGTTTATTTTATTAAATACGGGATTGGTGCTAGGTAGTATGAATTTATAATAAATGCGATTAGGTATACTATACAATTTGTATTAATTCTTATTACCTCAATAGGTAACAAGTTAGGGGATTTTAAAAATGTATATTATGTACGTATTTATGGGTGTATTATCATATATTTTATCCCCCTCTACTCCCTTTCAAAATTCCTAAATACGCCACTGGAAACACCTTACAGTTTACACTATACTCTTTTTCACGAGAGAAAGGTACCGGCGGCCGACCAAAGCGGGTCCGCCGCCGGGCATCCCCCACCAACTATCAGTTGTAAACGTGATCACGTGGTCGTCCACGCACCAATCGAATCATTTTACATTCGCGAAACGGTACCGTTATCTCGTGAAAAAGAGTATATTATACTCTTTTTCACATAAGAATGAACCGTTTAGTGCAAGCCGCATGCAGTGCAGACTGAGCCGCCGAGTGCCTGAGTGAGCCTGACCCCCCAGGCGATGGCTGGTTCTGTGATCGGTCGACGTTCATCGCCAGCCGTCGTCGATCGTCTGGCCGCCGTGCATACAGTGGCGTGGCGAACGGTAATTTCAGAGGCCTTGGCCTCTGAAATTTTTCTTAAATAGAGGGGTGGGTGGTAGCCAGTGGGTCCCCTAGTAAATTGAATATGATATTCTCAATAGGTAGTCAATAACGATCTGAAATATAACTTCTTGTATTACATTAATGCATTATTATGCATAAATACTCGGGTTATTTGTAACTGGCCTCTGGAAAATTTTTAGTTCGCCACGCCACTGCGTGCATACGCTCCCACCCGCCACCGTTGTCCGGAATGCGCGAACAAAACGAGTGGTTCATTCTTATTTGAAAAAGAGTATAGTAGACAATAGTATAAATTGGACGGTGTTTGGGAGAAAGGGTTCAAGTCCATTTTTGGTCATTTTGATGTAAATAGTCGATTTTGTAGGAAATTTTGTGCCGCATCGATTGGTCAAACTGTAATACATCCATGATCATTTGTTATCAATTTATTTTCAAGTGCGTTTTGATTCAAGTCATAACGGAAATAATTTGTTGTGAGAAACGGCCCAGGTCCAATAAAATGTTATCACTGTTATGTGATAAACGGACTAAGTTATTTTTATAATATAATTATTCGTGCATAAGGGCACAAGTCACACAAACTTTTAGTGAACAAAGGCACAAGTCACATGCAAATGTTCAGAATTTAAGTGTCATTGGGCATAAGTCCATGTAAACAATAAGAAATTCCTTTTTTACTTAAAAAGAATTTAAAATTGCAATAATTATAACTTAAAATAATTATATTCAATATAAGACATGAATAATTTTGGATTGGGTACCATATATTATGTTTTTTTCGTTTATTGAAAAACTATGGTTTTGGACTTGAACCCTTTCTCCCAAACACCGTCCAATTGGTATACTAGCATTATTTTTATATATTATCTGTGGTTATCACGTTTGTGACATTTGAACACTGCCATCTAGCGGTATATAGCATAATCGATGTCCCCTTATAAATTAGGGTCAATGACCGCTAGTTTCATCAGATCGATATTCTGTGGCCAAACCATAAAGCACGGACTAAGATATACAGGACTGGACACGACAAGGTTGGAGGGTGTGGGGGGGTTGACTACGAAATGTTTTACAACAGGCAGTGTTCGGGGGGATATTTTCCTTTTAGCATTACTAGCGCCGTCCTAGTGGATACTTATGGAACTAGAACACATCATACAAATTTCTAGTTCCATAAGTATCCACTAAGACGGCGCTAGTAATGCTAAAAGGAAAATATCCCCCCGAACTCCGCCTGTTGTAAAACATTTCGTAACCACAATATTCATCTCGTGTCCAGTCCTGTATATCTTAGTCCGTGCCATAAAGTAATACTCTATGGGCCAAACTGTTAAATATTGATAAGCAATAGGCAACAGTCGAAAACACGGTCTTAGAAGATAATATATTCTGAGACCGTGGTCGAAAATGTCGAATGACGAAAACATGCAAGAGATACCCGATAACTTCGGTGATAACGAATATTGACATTACTCTTACTATAATATAATATTGTTATTTGTTCTGTGAGTTGTGACATTACCATTTATAAATACAAATTACAGTATTTGCCATTTTTAAGTATTCACTTTTCAGTATTTTAGTACTTTTAGAATTTGGCACTATATGGGCATTTAGCGTTTCCTACAATTTGAATTTTTTATATGATTTCGGTTTGTAAAGTTGTATATTATAGTTCAATCAATTACAATTTTAAATTTATTATATTATATTAAACTAAAAAGTTGTAAAATATTTTTGTAATTTTTAACTTGAAACATTTTAACAGTATTATAACTCAAGGTAATCTGCAGCATGCAAATGAAATACCTGTTAAATAGTTCTATGTAAAACCATCAACATTTTTGTTTATTATTATTGTTTAGATGAGTGGTGGATCTTTGGATGTATCAAAGGCAGGAAATGCTTTGTGGCTTGTTAAAGTACCTAAATATGTTGCAGATAAATGGGACAATGCCCCCGGTAGCTTAGATGTAGGTAAGATCAAGGTGACAAATACTATACCAGGAAAAAGACCAGATATTTCGCTTCATCTGTCCGAAGCGGTTTTGTGTTTGGATGGTGAAAAAAACAATGAACCAATACCTAAGTCATTCAAATTAGATGTGTCACACTTTACTAGCCAAACAATGGTTGCATTATCTGAACATAGAATGTCTTATAATCCTGATGCAGTTGTTCAAGAAACAGATAGGTTAGCTATTCTAGGAAAAATAAGTCAGAAACTAGAATGTCGGCCAATTGGAGATCAGGTAATTGGTATAATAATCTTTATTTCATGTTTTTGTGATAATGATACCTTGATGATTTTTTCAGGTTTATATGGATTTAAAAAAACAAGCCATACGGAAAGCACATATTCCAACCAGACAAGTTCAAAAGTTGGACAAAGTAGTGCAAAATTTCAAGCCGATATCAGATCACAAACATAATATTGAATATAATGAAAAGAAGAAGTCTGAAGGCAAAAAGGCACGAGATGATAAAGATGCTGTCATGGCTATGTTGTTTAAGGCATTTGAGAAACATCAATACTACAACATCAAAGATTTGGTTACATTAACTAAACAGCCTGTAGTATATTTAAAAGAAATCCTAAAAGAAGTTTGTAATTATAATCTGAAACATCCTCATAAGAATATGTGGGAGTTAAAACCTGAGTATAGACATTACAAAGAACAGGAAGATAATGAGACAAATTAGTAATAATTGTAATTTATATTAAACATAACTATAAATATTATACCTACATATTTTGAATCTTTAGTGAGTTTTATGAATTATGGTAGATTTAAAATTATTTTGTTATCTATTTGTTATTGATTTTATTGCAGTTTTAAAAATCAATTAGCTCAATGTCAATTGGTAATAATTTATTAGGTAAATCCTAAAATACTAGATAAATCAATGTGTAAATATTGAATAAAGATACAGTAGTATAACTTGTACATTTGTGTGGTGGTTAAGGGGGTAAAGATATATATTGTGTTAAGGGGACATTACAGTGACATTTGTTGTCTCCATCTTACAGGTGTGTAACATAACAAATTTTACGCTCAGCAAAACACGTTTATCTCCCGTTAGTTTAAAAATTAGAGTGAATTGACCTCTTATAAAATTTAAAGGTAAGATAATTATCTAGACAATGACATAGGCTTTATATTATATTTTTAATTTAAAGCGAGTTATGAATATTTTAAGATGTACAAACAGTTTACAATTTTTAAATACACATAACTCGCTTTAAAATTAAAATATAATGAAAAGTCTATGTCATTGTCGAGATAATAATCTTGCTTTTAAATTTTATAAGAGGTTAATTCTCTCTAATTTTTAAACCAACGGGAGATAAACGTGTTTTGCTGAGTGTAAAATTTGCTATGTTACGCACTTGTAAGACAGAGAAAACAAATGTAACTGCAACGGCCCCTTAACACTAGAGCTTTTGTAAAATTAGAGTCAATATTAAGTTTTAGAGTAGTCATTCCTTATAAGAATATTGGAAATTGGGAACTTTTCCACTGGACTCTACTATGTGTGAACCATTTTATTAATATTTTATAAATACAACTACAGTTATATACCTACGTCCTACATTTAAATCTAATAAATTAACCTAAGTTGATATATTTACACAGAATTTATTTATAAAATTGACTGTAGCATTTATATAGCTATTACTGTGATGGATAAAATTGTTGAGAACATGAATACTGGATAGGTCTATAAAAAATTGATCAAGTATACAAAGTTTTAGCATGTCTATTTCTTACTAACTCGGAGTTCTGAAAATTCCTGGAAATTATTTACATGTGCTTAGCTTATAAAATTAAAAACACTTATAAAGAATAAAGATAATACTGTGAATAGCTTACAACCAAAATCATTAGATTTTGTGTAACGTCCTCTTTAACTTGGAATAAAATAAGAGGCTTGATATGGCCGATTCATAAAGAACTATAATTTTAATGATAATGAAAACCTAAGTTATTGTTACTATTGATGATACAAACAACAAACATTTATATCAATTCTTGTTAGAAAATAAAGTAAATATAGTAAACTATGTAATTATAAGTGTTATTATTTTATGATATAACTTTATAGTTTATACTGTAGTTGTTTAGATAAGCATCAACTTGAAACAATCTTTGTTTCCCCAGATTAGGTATATGTATGATGGTTCAAAAATATAATTTATCTCTTCTGAAATTAGATATACTTTTAAATGAAAAAAAAACAATACAAATAAATACATTAGTCATTAGTTATTGTTATATATTTAAAAAAAAAAATACATTAGGTAGTCATTAATTATTGTTTGATATAAAAAAAAAATCAATCAATGGCTTTTTCACACATACTGAGTACTCCTAATCTAGTCTTGTTACCACCAATGAATCCATTGGCATGACAAAAAATACAATCTTCTACTCCAGAAATTGTACTTAATTTATCATCTCTGATACCCCACCAACTTTTTGGCAATGGTCTTCGAAGTGTAAACGAATGAGGAGTTATAGGTATACACTGTATTCTCCAAGTTTCATTGGAGCTATCTTCAAAAATAACATAATCAATTTTTGGTAAAAGGTCTTCACCAAGTTCTTCTTCTAATACAAAATAATGTTCTTTCCAAGGACATGGTGTACTGAACTCTATTACACGACCAGACTTGTGTGTTTGGTATCGTTTCTCCAGTGCATCGATTACCAATGACCTGGCTGGTAACCATGTTTGATATGCATATAGTACAGTTTCTTCAAATTCACATTTAATCAATTGCATTGCCTTTTTAAATGCTTCCATATCGTCAAATTTTCCAGCATGGTTCCATTTTTTGTTGAAGTTACCGACACGACTACTCAAATGTGTGTGTATATTATATTTTGGCACACCTTCACATATTGGAATACCATTATCAATAGCATCTACTTCTTGCACAAAGCATTCATATACTTTAGAATAAATAGTATTTAATTTATCTTCTGGTACATCGGATGCTATAATTGTTTTCAAAACATCATGGCCGTAATGTAAGTATACCAAACCTGCACTACTCAATTTCGTTGTCCATTTGGCATTGGGTATTAGTGTGCTCATTGAATGATCAAAACTTCTTTGATGATGATCATAGCGACGTTTACTGTGATCATACACGCCACCAACATCGATTACGATATCGCACTCAGCTAACAGTTTTTCATCTCTTGTACGAATTATTTCTAAGTCAGGAAATAATAATTGTAGCATATATGAACCGAAAGCTTCATCGCAGTGGAATATGCCACTGTGTGTACCCAATTTTTTTGGCGAAAATTTGGTTAAATTCATTTTTAAGGCAATTAATAATTACAAATGACAGTTAACTATTAAGCGTATTAAGTAATAATGGACAAACTAAATACTGAATAGAAAATAGTATTATACACTTAAAATATAAACAATAATTACACTACCTCGTCGACTGTCGAGTCCCACCACAATTGGCGATAGAAATTAGAAAGCTTATTAACACGGACACGGACTAAGGTCTAGATACATCTGATACAATGGATTATGGACTGGACTCTGGAAACAGTGAAAACGACATGGTCGGCGGGTGTCGGGGGACGCCGGGACGGCCGTCGGCCACCAAAAGGTTGACGAACATCTCATTGTAGCTTGGAAAATTGGCTGCTGCGCGCGCAGCTCTCCTTATCTTACCATTATCACTGTTAGTTTCAAAAATGATAATCTGATTATGAAATTATATAAAAGACCGTGATAATACCGTAGAATGTTCTATGATAATACTGTTTTCCCCTTAGATCATGACTACTTATAATTTGTCAATTGTCATGCTATTTATTCATAGATGACCATAGTCGATATTGGCATATTCATTTTTCTGTTATTACTGATTATAATAAATCTCCGTCCGTGCTTACTGCTTATTAATAAATTTAAAAAAAAGGGCATTGTATATTTATCTTCTAATCACGTATTCCAATGGACATTTGTTCTACAAAATCATTGTCCCACAAATATTAAGATACAAATAATTTTAATCGGTTATAAATGAATTGATTAGCAAAACCTAAATACCTAATACCTATTGTTAATTTATAATAATAAATTTATTGTACTGTTATAATTGTATAGTTCGTTAATGTTATTATTATAGTGGTGGATTGATCATAATATCATAATGTACGTGGAAATGATTTCAGATCTACTCGATTTGTTCAATAAACTATTAAACTTCGTAAGTGTAGTTAACTTCAATTATTTTTTGTTGAGATGTATCCCACATATATGTAGTTGAAATAATATTTTATTTTAGACTGATATCAATCTACAATTTATGTGTGGTATTAATAAAGCATTATTTTAGTAGTGCATTAACTTAAACCTAAATTCTAACTTCTCTGTTGATATATACATTTAATAATCTTGAACTAAGTAAATAAGTATCTACCATATTATAAAGAAGGTTATGGTGAAAAGTGAATACCCAATATTTAGATTTAAAATTGTAAAGTAAGCTGAAATAAATCTAAATTAGTTGGTATCTGGTATTATGAAAACTATATTTATAAATTTAAGAGTATAGTAACAATATGATTATAATTGTGTATTTGAATGGGGATTTGTTAAAAGGGACCCAAATTACATTTTTGTTGTATATTATTCATCCATTTATGTAAACACATTATATGCTTATAATTTGTAAATTAAAGACTGATTCAAAAAAGGTACCATAAGTTTTTCTTTTTATTTAAATTTAAAAAAAACAATATTGTTTTTTTAAGATTGTTATTCATTTGTTTATTCGAAGTTTGTTATTTAGTTGCATTGTTATCTATTTGATTGGATAAAATAAATAAGAAGGTATTATATTATTTTAAAATGTGACTATTATATTAAATTAATACAATTATTAGAATTTGTTTAAAGGTACTTATGTCACATTCCAAAAATTTGTTATTTATAAAAGTACAAATTTTTTTTAAATAATTTTTTTTGACATTTATTTTTTATACAATACTTTTTAATCTAAATTGTGATGATTGATCTTATTTCCCAAATAGAAATAAAGGAAAACTGTTTTTTGTTTCTCTTGAAAAGTAGTTGAAAATGTACATGGGTCCTTTTAACAAATTGCCATTCATGTGTATTTAGAATTAAAATATTAATATGTATATACAAATTGATTACTTTTTGAATTTTGATCCTTGTTTTATCTTCATTATTAGTAAATACAATTTTTATTTGTGCTAATATTAATATATTTATAAGTAGGTCTTTTACAATTCAATTTTAAAAGTATATATGGACGATGTTGGTGCATAAATACATACATATTCATTCTATTTAAGTGCATAATTATCTAAGTCTTAGTTTTTATATAGTTTTTATAGAATCCATAATATAGATCATGATTAAAAACATTTTGTGTGATTTGAAATTATTATTATTTTAGATGACTGAAGTTGGAGTCTTAGATTCTTTTACATTCGTGCATTCTGCCATAAATCTCAACCCGCAGCATGAGCAGTTCCTTAAAAGAATTCAATCATCAATTGATGAATTGAAGGTATGATTTTATATATGAATATGGTTATTCAAAATAAAATATTGATTTTATATGCTTATTTTATAGAAATGGTTACAAAATGTATGTACGGAATGGAAAGCAGAAGATTTAGCTTCTCTTGGCAATGTAATAGAGCCACCAATGACACCTAATAATATAGATCTCAACATGAATGGCACCGATTACATCACGCCACTTATTAAAGAAAAGATAGACTCTGTGCTAGGTTTCCGAAACCCAGTTAGTCCGATCTTATGGAGTGTTGGATTGAGACCCATACAAGATAGTAATTCTAAAGACGGATTTGAGATAGATGATGATCAAAGACTGCCTACAGATTTTGTTGCTCCTTCTTTTGGAGATTATGGAAGCCCATCTTCAGAACCTTGGAATGTTTTTCAAGAATCTAATTATGATCTGGATCAGACAAACATGGTGACATATATAATATATTAAAATATATTTATAAAATTATTGAAATTGACAGTTGCTTACATTTTTTAAGGATGAAAAAGGTCCTCAAACACCAAATATAAAAATATATAGAAAGGAAGAGGAACCAGAAATTATACAAGACATGAATTCAAATTCAAATTCATCATGTTTTCCTCATGAGATTAATCAGAGTAAGTTATATTATGTCATGTATAATAAACTCTTATTATTCCGTTAAATTTTTTTGTTATTAATTAGTATAGACATATAAAATGATTTCCAGTTGAAAATTTACTTCCATGCCAAAAATGTAAACACCAATTCGGGTCCTTTGAAGAGTTGGAAGAACATTTAAAAACACATCAATTCAAATCAAAATTCACAAATCTACATTTAACTTGTGGTAATTATATATTTTACTCTTTAATGAGTTATAAATAGTTATAAATAGGTTATAAATAACCTAACCTAACATATAATATATTTATGAATAGTAACAATCATACTATGAGTTTAATTGCTTGTAATGATAGTCCTTATTAATTAATTTTGAATGATATATATTTGATAAACCATGATATATATTTGGAGGGCCATAGTACAAAATTCTGGGGGTTACCGGTGCCTACACTAATGGGTTAAATAATTTACTTCTGTTTTTCTAGCACCTGTTAGTTGTTATTTAATCATAACTTACTGATATGTTTCTATTTTACCCATATGTTATCATTCTTCAAATTTGATTTGGCTTATTTTGTTTTTATTTTTTATAGATTGATTGATATTGATCAACATATTATGTCAGTTGCTATTATTCATATTTTAGATTCTAAGTGCATTGAATGTATTGATTTTACTATATGTTTTTTTTGTATGTACATGTTTTATAGTAGAAAATATGCATCTTAGAAAGTGGTTTCAAGAAGCAAATTGGTTCTAGTTGGTACTGTTATTCAAAAATGAAAATTCACAGTAATTTTCGAAATAATCGGAAAAAACTATAAAAAAAAAAAAATTATGGAAAATTTTTTTCGGTTTTTGATCAAATCAATTTTACTCTTTGTTATAATTCAAAAATAAAAGACCATAGAAAGTATTTATTAGAAATTTTGCTTAAAGATTTTCATTTATCCCTTATTTTTTTTTGCTTTTCTTGATTATTTTAAAAATAACTGAGAATTTTAATTTTTGATTCAAAAAAGGTGGGTAAGTTTATGTCGCTCTGCTGTACAGTAGGTTACAAGTGGGTCACTGTATAATGGATGCTTTTAAATTTGAATTCAATGATACAATATCATTGTATAAGAAAAACGATTCTGAGCGAAGACGGTATGTCAGTCTAGGTTTAAGACAAATTATATACATATCTATGGTATTAAAAAAAAATTGACCTATAATAAATTCCAAATTAATCATATCACATTATCACAATATCCATTAGGTACTTATAATACGTTATACATCAACATCAATAACAAACCCTGATACTATCATAGATATATAATAGTACACTTTAGAAGTTTCAAGTAGGTACCCACGAATAATATTATATAATCACGACAAAATAACTAGGTTTTTTAATATGTAATTTCGTCCAAATTTGAACATAAAATGACTATAAAAATAAACTGTGATTGTATATTTTTTAGATTTTTCGGTAAGAGAATTAACTACTTACGTGGAATCTTGTTTTAAATTTTCAATCCTTAGCTATAAAAACTGAACATTTTATAATTTATTAATTACGATGATTAATAATTTTCGAGATTTTGAAAAATTCTGTCAAAATTCGATGTTTAAATGCTTATAAAAAAAAAATTGTGCCTATGTATTTTTAATATTTTTCAACTGATATTGTAACAATATGTCAGGAGCCTTGTATTAAATTTTTACACTTTTTGGCCCAACAGATAAAACTTTATTGATATTCATAGAAAAAAAAACTAAAAAAATTGAAAAATGAAAATGTCCGTAAACAGCTCAAAAAGAGTCAAAATATTTTCAAAATCGTATGGTGTATAGGAAATGCTAATATAAACATTCAGTGAAATTTTCATGTATCTACAGTTATTCGTTTTTGAATTACAACAAAATAAGGAAATCGCTACATGAGAAATCGAGTGAATAACCAATGTTGTAAAAATTTGAATTTCAAACGCTCATAAAAATTTAATTTAACTGTCCGGTAGAGATTTTTTTAATGATACAGGTAGACAAACTTATGAGTAATCTTGTATTACATTTTCAAATCTTAGATTTAAAAGGAAAAGTTTTTACGAATTCTTAACTCAAAATAATTTGCTAATTTTCGTGATTTTTCCATATTTTGTCAATTTTTGAACTTTAAATGCTTATAAAAAAAAATTGTGACTAAGGATTTTTAATATTTTTCATCTGCCTTTGAAACAATATATTAGGAGCCTTCTATTAAATTTTCAAGCTTTCGCAACCAACAAATAAAATTTTATTGATATTTCTAGAAAAAAAACTAAAAAAAAATGAAAAATGAAAATGTCCCTTGTCAATGGTCATTTGTTTTAAAGTTACACCAAAAACCAAATTCAATTTTCTGAAAAATCGATTTTGCGTAAAAATTCCCGTTTTTCCTTAATTTTTCTTTTGTTTTTCCCGGCGCTCTTGAAAACTACTGGGAAATTTAAATTTTGACCTCCCCAATGCACCAACGATATTCACTTTCCAATCGAACAAGATACTGAAGTCGAAAATCGAAGCATTATTTCGACTACTTATCGTGTACACAGACACAAAAAAAATAAATATAAAAATAAAAAAAAAAATAAAAAAAAAAACACACATCATTGTAAAATCAATACATTCATCGTTTCACTCAGAATCTAATACCAACTAGATTCAGTTTGTTTCCAGAATCCACCCTTGAAGTTGAAGATCAAACACACATTGTAAAATTGATAAATTTTTGTGTATTATTTGTAATGTTACTGTAACGGGGTCGGGGAACTTGTTATATTTAGATAATTCAGTTAGGGTTTTCAGAGCCCTATGAATTATATTTAACTGTAACTCGGGAGCTTCAGGAAAGATAGATCAACTCATTAAGTACATAATACTTATTAAAATACACAAATCTTCTTAAATACAAAATATTGAATAAATATGCTAACAATTATTTGTGTATATGTGTACCCGGTCACCCGGATAACTATACTACCTATATACGCCTTCTTCCTTATTATTATTATTCATATTTGAGAGGTGGAAATCAAAAACGTACTATTGCCAAAATTGACGAAGTTAGTTATCGATTTTTATGAAAAAATATCGATACATCGATTAGCGTTGTCAGAATAGATCAAAACGTACTATTTCATAGTCAAATTTGCGATTCAAAATGACTGCTTATTCCAAAACAAACCTTTTCCATACTTAAAAATGATATTTAGAAAATCAAAACGCCAATGTTAAAAGAATAGGAAGAAATTATTAACTATATCAAAACAAACTAATTCCAAAACATACTTTTTTTATGTTATGTCATCTTTTACCCGTGTTGTACGTAGGGAATTAAAAATGTTATTCCAAAACGTACTAAAATGTAATTTTAAAAATTTTAATTAAGTTTTAAATTAAATTAAAAATATAAGTCTAGAATATTTAACACATTTGAATTATTTTAAATATAAATAATATATTATTAAATAATTTTAAAAAAAACCTTTTTTCAAAATGATTGTCTTTTTATAAATGGTTTGTTTTTTAATGAAAATGTTAAGATACAGAAAATTGCTTCTCCTGAAAAATCAGTATTTTGGCAATAGTACGTTTTGGATTTCCACCCCTCATTTATACCTATACTTTACAGTATATCATGTAACAGTGTCACACATATGTGATCTGCTACATTACCATTGTTATAAAATTATATTTTAAATCAATACCAGGTACCTATCAGATAAAATAATTTATATGATCTGTGATGTTCTTATTTTAAACATTTTATTCATTGTTTATATGATACTTTGTTCTGAAATTGTATAATATGTATACTTTATATTTAATTAGTGATAGAAACAAATTGTAAATGTAATCAAAACTTTGTTTTATTTTTTTAGCTTACTGTAATAAATCTTTCTATAAAAAAAGTAACTTACGCCTACATATGTTGATCCATGAAAACATCAAACCTTACACATGTTTGTACTGTGATCGGCAGTTTACTCAGAAAGCCACAAGAGATATACACTTAACTAAACATACTGGTTGTTTTTCATAAAATTAGCTTTTATTTTTTAAACTTATTATTTATTACAATAATAATAATTTTAATTAATATTAATTAAATATTTTTATAAGTAAAAAGTCTTTGTCTTCTAAAGACTGCAATTTTGTATAATTACTAATTTATTTACAATTTCCAGGTGACTATTTATATTTGTGTTATGTTTGCAATAAAAAATATGCTACTAAAGGAAAATTAGAGTTCCATATGAAAACTCATCAAGAAGCACAATATGAATGTACATTGTGCAGTAAACGATTTTCTACTCAGCAATATTTAAATTATCATATGAAAGTACACCCAGATCAGGTATGTGTAGTGACTGTATGCAGTACAATTATTGCTGTACATGACAATATTGTTATCTGGAAATATTAATTACATTTGGTTACATAAATATAATTACTGTGCCTTGTACAATGTTTAACTAGGAATAAAAAATCCAAACCTTCATGAGAAACCTTTAAAGTTCATAAAAGTTTATTTAGACTTAAAAAAAATCATCTGGAATGTAGTAGTAACACAGTAAAAAGCAGGTTAAGTTAAGTTAGGTCGGGTTTTGTTGTATTTAAAGTATCAAATAGACAGTCAATAGTTATTATTTAGAAACATTTTAACATGCTTTAATTTTTTTTAATGGCTTTATTCTGTTTAATGGTCTTCCAATAAAGTAAATTATATTGGTTTTTTAGATTCTGAGCAAAGCGATGAATGTATTAATTTATCTTATATCTGCTGTAACCTCCTATTGTCAAATACTTTACAAATTATAACAATAATTTTACGGAGTAGTCAATTATTGTCCCATTTTTTTTGTAGAAATCTATCATTAAATTTGTGAATGACAAATTAGTTTACAGAGACATTAACAATGTTGTATAAGCCTGTAGCCATTTCAACTACTAGTGAATAAAAAATATTTTATTAGAATTTAAAAAGATATATTAATTGAAAGCATTTTGTAAGCAGCATTAGTTATAATGTAAAACAGCAAAACAAGGAATGATAAAAATATATTATAATTGGAAGAACAAACAAATATAGTGAAATTTGGTTAACTCAAAATCGTGGATAACTCGAACTTTTCCCCTATCAATAGAATTTCAAATTATTGTATTATCCTTGAATAACTCAAATTCTTTGTTAACTTGATCTTTTTGACAGGACCTTTCAACTTCAAATAAACCAAGTCAGATTGTATATATAAAAAATAAATGTATTTATTAAATACAGCGGTTCTCAATCAATTTTGCTTGTACGGAACCCCAAGAAATTAGAAATGCTCATAAGATAATAAGATATTATACATAACTTGTGATAAATATGCACAAATGATTTGATTATTAATTTATTTCTGTATAATATAATTAAAAGTTATAAAGGTAATGAATCTTCAACCAACTCGCATCTAATATCGTTTTTGACTGTGATACAAAATCTGTCTGTTATTAAAATAAATACGATAAACCATTCAAAAATATAATAATATGTTCTATCAACTAGATGTAAAACCTATTACAACTGTACAAAATATTTGATAAAACTTTAATACATTTTAAATCATATTTCATATGTTTAGAATACAAGTGGATTCAACTGTGATGTATGTCAAACAGAGTTTAAGAAAAAAAGATCTTTCCTTGCACATAGAAAACAAGAACATCCATCTTGTATGTTTAAATGTCCAACTTTTGAGTGTGATAAGGAATTTTCTACGATCCAACTGTTAAATAGGCATACTAAACGATTACACGAAGCAAAGGAAAGGTAAATCACAATTTAAATCTTATATTTAATTAGATGAAGTCTGTTATTACATAACTTAAATACTTAATTTATATGGTAGAAGTGTGATTTGTTCAGAATGTGGGAAATCATTTGATTTTCCTAATTACTTACAAAAACACATTGTTCGAGTTCATGGGCCTAAACGTTTACCAAAATTTAAATGCCGACAATGTCCCTTACGTTTTGATAATGACGTTATGTTACATGTACACATGCAATCACATCCAAAGGTATGAAATATTTCTATTTAAAGAAAATAATTTAAACATTTAAAAATTAGTAACATTATGAATTTAATCCTTTTAATAGAATAATTATAGAAATTACACACATATAGGTAGCTGTGAGATGGTTTTTAACTCTTAGAACTTAATAGCTTTTATTAAAGAAAAAAACAATTAAAGTATCTGATAAGTACGTATGCAAAACATCAACAATTGAAAAAACAATCTTTTAATGCATTAGTTCTTGAACTCCGTAATATTTTTCTGAACGTGATAATATATCTTTAAACCGTAAAATAATAATACAACACTATTAAGTGTTAAGGTAAGCAAAATTTTATGAGTATTAAAAACCTTGGGGCTCTTTAAAATGTTTAACTGTTGTGGGTTATTATTTTTATTATTATACGTATTTAATTCGAAACAAACACTTTGATAAATATTATATTACTAGCTGTTCCTGTGCACTTCATTGCCCGTTATCAACTTTATATTACTCAAACTTTGTTCAATTCATTATTTAATAATCGGTGTATGGTGTTCAAAATTTATCTTAATTTTCGGTTGCCCTGAATAAAAATTCTGATTCGCAGCAGTACATTATCAAGTAGGCAATCTACCTATTGTAGATGGCAGATTCCTTGTTGTTTGTATTTAAGCATATGATTTAACTCTAAAGTATCAAAGTTATACCAAGTTTATCGCTTTTACTTAATTCCTACAACGGAAGATTAATTTAATCAATTTATACAAAATTCTAACCTAACCGTACTAAAATCCGATGAATAAAAAAAAACAAATTTAACCCTTTACAAATTAAAGTAAATAGTTTTTTTATTATTATTATTATTATTATTATTATATAGCTTAAAAACCCATCATTGCTTATAAACGCATAATAATAATAGGTAATGATTGAACATGTATATGTTGTATGTACAAAATTGTATTATATAATAAATGGTTTGTTTGTTCTCATGGCAACAAATTAAAACGATTCACTATAATTCTGTATTGAAATTTCTACAACGAATCATTTTTTATGACGTCACACAAGGCAACCATTTATAAACAAAAATTTCTATCCGAAATCTCAAAATTCCCATTTTAACACCTCTCGGGGTTGGTCCTCTCCCTTTTTAAATTAGCCTATCTTTTAAGTTCGGCCAAATTACATACATTGTAAAAATTTCATCAAGATCGGTCCAGTGGTTTCTAGGTTTTACCGGAAAAAGACGTAGTTATATTGGTTGCTATTGATTAATCGGGCATGTTTGTTGATTTGTATTTCGTTTTTTGTCTATATATATATATATATATAAATAAATAAATGAATGTTTGTGTGTAGATTAGACCTCTGAAAAGATGACAGTCGAATTTAAAAATGGTTAAATTTAGTTTATTTTTATTCATCTGATATTAGTACGGTTATGATTTTGTAATAACTGATTATATTAATCCACCGTAGGTGGAATACAACAAACTTGGTATAACTTTGATACTTTAGAGTTGAATCATATACGTTTACTTACAAACATCAAGGGGTCCGCGATCTACCGCAGATAGATTACCTACCTTATATATACTGCTGCGAATCAGAATTATTATTATTATTCCGGGCAACGGAAAAGTTAAAATAAATTTTGAACACCATACACTGAATATTAAATAACAAATTGAACAAAGTTTGAGTCATAAAGATTTAGTACATTTAACGGGTAACTAAGTACACTGGATCAGCTAGTTAATATATATATAAAATAAAGGTACTTATATAAAAACATACCTAATTTATTTTTCTGTAATCTTGTTGATGGTTAATACCTATAGTGAACCAAAATTGTATTTTAAAACAATATGATTTATGGCTATAATTGTGAATAAAATTGTTTAATTTTTCTGTTAATTTATTTCTTTTGGCAGGATAATAAAAAGAAAGAAATCAAACGCGTGAGTTGTCCTCGAGATTCTTGTAATTTATCATTTTACAACCGTGTTAGTCTTCGATATCACATTGCTGAAAAACATGATAATATATATCGGTAAGCTTATTCATATATACAAACTATAAAATGTATTAAACGTATGTGATGCGTGGTTACAAAGTATTTTGTTTCAATTTTTTTTTATTTTAAGGTATGAATGTGAAATATGTCAAAAAAAATTTGTTCGCAAAAATCATTATGAATTACATAAAGCTATTCATTTGAAACCAAATTTTACTTGTAATATGTGTTTCAAAAGATTTCGTAAAAAGAATCGCCTAGCTGCTCATTGGAAAAGGACTCATCAACAAGAGACATTTGATTTTGGCATGCTTTTTAGTGTAGATACAATTCACAAATTAAATTTATAATATAATAATATGTTTAAATGTTAAATAAATTATAGTTCAACTATAGTTAAAAAGTTAACTACCTAATGTTAAAATAAGATGCAATGTAAACTGATCAGGCAAGGATCCATGGGTGGTTAATAAGGGACTTATACTCCTCCTTTTTCACCATGTTACCAAGTATGTAATAATGTATTATATTTTTGGATATTTAAAACAAAGCATTTTTTATGTTCGGGATAATCTTGGACATTACAGGCTTGATTTGCATGAGGGTTTTTTTAATAGGGTTGTGTATTGAACAGTGCTCGAATCGGGGGGTGCACAGGGGGACGGAGCTCCTCTACTATTTTAATTTTTTTTTGCGTACCCCAACTATTTTTTTTACTTGGAAGGGGGATGGTACAAACTAATGCCCAAAATAAAATTAAAATTTAGAGTGAATCTAAATTGTTGTCAAAGATATACATACGACATACCTAATGAATTTTACATTTTTTAATATAAAAATATTTTTCATATTTTCTATGGTTTTCACTAGTATAGTGTTCAACCTTTTTGACTCGCGATCCACTGTTTTTGTAACAACATTTTCACGACTAATGTCAAATTTGTAGGCCATGAAAGAAAAAATACTTTAGCTGCTAGTCTTGCGTAATTTTCCATACATAGGTGTGCCCAAAACATTTCCAAAAAAGTTTCAATAAACATTGGTTTAAGTTTGGGATCACAAGTAAGCTCAATTTATTGATTTTCTATGTCAGTAGACACTATAACTGTCATTATATTATTATCTAATGTAAAATATGTTTCTTCAATGCATTCATAACTTATTCGAATTCATAATTTATAATTTTATATTATAAACTTTTTTTTTTTACAAAAAGACCTGTCACGATCCATTTTTATAGATTATGCCACCCAAGATTGGGTAGCGACCCGATACCACTGGTTTAGATTTCCTAATAACTTTCTCATTTTTTTATTATGGATTGTTTAAGAGGATGCTAATTGCTACCCATAGACCTATAAACTAATGGATTGCGCCTCCCTCACCACCCAGCCATCACTGAGTGGCTCCAATATAGAGTGAGTGAGAAAGAACATATTGTGGGGAATCTAGGTGGACTCATATAAGAGAAAGAGAGAAAAACCATAATGGGGGAAATCATAGACGTATGAAACTAAATACTGTATATCGTACCCCTGACCTCTCTCTCTAAGCGCTGTCCATTAGCTTATAGTCTATGTTGCTGATCCATGCATTTGTTGTCTCCATCTTACACACGTACGACAGAAAAAAAATTTCGTTCACTAGTTTCAATAGTGTGCTGTTAGTCTTGATACTAAATGTCGCTCAGCTGTACAGTAGGTTACAAGTGGGTCATTGTATAATGAATTGTATTAAACTTGAATTCAATGATATAATATCATTGTATAGGAAAAACAATTCTGAGCGAAAACGGTTAGTCAGCCTATGATATTACGAAGTATATTTGATGATACTGAGGTGAATAAAGTAATTTACATATAACCTATTTAAGTAGAATATTGTTTTAAATGTTCAATCATTAGCTATAAAAGTTGAACATTTTATAAATTTTTAACTACAAAATTATTATTAAATTTTAAATGTGATAAATTTTGTCAAAATTAGAACTTTAAATGCTTATAAAAAAAATTGTGCCTATGTATTCTGAGCGGAGACGGTTTGTCAGTTTGGATATTATATATTGTTATTATTTATTATATCATGTAACTATGTAAGTTGAATTAATATTATAATATTATTATTTTTTATTCGTTTCTATGGTGATAAACAAAGCGTTATAAATATATGTTGAAATTGAAGAACTTCTGGTAGAAATTTTGAATACAAAAAAGGGTATAAAAAATAAACACCATTGTAAAACCAATAGCTTCCTCACTGCGTTCAGAATCTAAAATAAAACATTGTAAAATCAATATATTCATCACTCCGCTAGGAATCTAATAATTGGAAACTTAAAATGTACTTTAACAGTTCAAAACACGTTAAAATATTTTAGATTTTTTTTTGAATGGTGTATATTTAATTTTTTTTTATATCCTGTATACAAAATTTCTACCAGAAGGAGTGTTTCGATTTCAACATATAGTACCTTATCTTTTAGCAAATTGGATCAAGATGGTACTTTAGACAGGTCATTTATCGAGTTTATTAATAGTTATTTAATGCCACTGTAAAAACCACCTAAAAATTACGAAAAACCGCTAAAAATTGGATTTTAATTTCTAACGCTTTGTTTATTACCATAGAAACGAATAAAAAATTATAATTTTATAATATTAATTCAACTTACATGACATAATAATTAATGACAATATATAATGTCCAGACTGACAAACCGTCTCCGCTCAGGATCGTTTTTCTTATACAATGATAGAATATCATTGAATTCAAGTTTATTACAATTCATTATAGGTATAATGACTCACTTGTAACATACTGTACAGCAGAGCGACATCCACTTACCAGCTTTTTAGATTCTGAGTGAAACGATGAATGTATTGATTTTACAATGATGTGTGTTTTTTTTTTTATTTTTTTATTTTATTTTAGATTCTGAGTGAAACGATGAATGTATTGATTTTACAATGATGTGTGTTTTTTTTTTATTTTTTTTTTATTTTTTTTTTTATTTTTTTTTTATTTTTTTTTTTATTTTTTTGTGTCTGTGTACACGATAAGTAGTCGAAATAATGCTTCGATTTTCGACTTCAGTATCTTGTTCGATTGGAAAGTGAATATCGTTGGTGCATTGGGGAGGTCAAAATTTAAATTTCCCAGTAGTTTTCAAGAGCGCCGGGAAAAACAAAAGAAAAATTAAGGAAAAACGGGAATTTTTACGCAAAATCGATTTTTCAGAAAATTGAATTTGGTTTTTGGTGTAACTTTAAAACAAATGACCGTAGGTACATGCAATTTTCACTGGTTGTTTATATTTGCATCTTCTATACACGATAACATTTTCAAAATATTTTGATTTATTTTGAACAGTTTAGGGACATTTTCATTTTTAGTTTTTTTTTAGTTTTTTTTCTAGAAATATCAATAAAATTTTATTTGTTGGTTGCGAAACCTTGAAAATTTAATAGAAGGCTCCTAATATATTGTTTCAAGGGCAGATGAAAAATATTAAAAATCCTTAGTCACAATTTTTTTTTATAAGCATTTAAAGTTCAAAAATTGACAAAATATGGAAAAATCACGAAAATTAGCAAATTATTTTGAGTTAAGAATTCGTAAAAATTTTTCTTTTTAAATCTAAGATTTGAAAATCTAATACAAGATTACTCATAAGATTGTCTACCTTTATCAATAAAAAAATCTCTACCGGAAAGTCAAATTAAATTTTTATGAGCGTTTGAAATTCAAATTTTTACAACATTGGATATTCACTCGATTTCTCATGTGGCAATTTCCTTTTTTTGTTGTAATTAAAAAACGAATTACTGTAGATACATGAAAATTTCACTGAATGTTTATATTAGCATTTCCTATACACCATACAATTTTGAAAATATTTTGACTCTTTTTGAGCCGTTTACGGACATTTTCAGTTTTCAATTTTTTTAGTTTTTTTTTCTATAAATATTAATTAAGTTTTATCTGTTGGGCCAAAAAGTGTAAAAATTTAATACAAGGCTCCTGATATATTGTTACAATATCAGTTGAAAAATATTAAAAATACATAGGCACAATTTTTTTTTATAAGCATTTTAACATCGAATTTTGACAGAATTTTTCAAAATCTCGAAAATTATTAATCATCGTAATTAATAAATTATAAAATGTTCAGTTTTTATAGCTAAGGATTGAAAATTTAAAACAAGATTTCACGTAAGTAGTTAATTCTCTTACCGAAAAATCTAAAAAATATACAATCACAGTTTATTTTTATAGTCATTTTATGTTCAAATTTTGACGAAATTACATATTAAAAAACCTAGTTATTTTGTTGTGATTATATAATATTATTCGTGGGTACCTACTTGAAACTTCTAAAGTGTACTATTATATATATATGATAGTATCAGGGTTTGTTGTTGGTGTATAACGTGTTATTAGTACCTAATGGATATTGTGATAATGTGATATGATTAATTTGGAATTTATTATAGGTCAATTTTTTTTTAATACCATAGATATGTATATAATTTGTCTTAACCTAGACTGACATACCGTCTTCGCTCAGAATCGTTTTTCTTATACAATGATATTGTATCATTGAATTCAAATTTAATAGCATCAATTATACAGTGACCCACTTGTAACCTACTGTACAGCAGAGCGACATCCACTTACCCACCTTTTTTATTTTTTTTTTTCTGTGTACACGATAAGTAGTCGAAATAATGCTTCGATTTTCGACTTCAGTATCTTGTTCGATTGGAAAGTGAATATCGTTGGTGCATTGGGGAGGTCAAAATTTAAATTTCCCAGTAGTTTTCAAGAGCGCCGGGAAAAACAAAAGAAAAATTAAGGAAAAACGGGAATTTTTACGCAAAATCGATTTTTCAGAAAATTGAATTTGGTTTTTGGTGTAACTTTAAAACAAATGACCGTAGGTACATGCAATTTTCACTGGTTGTTTATATTTGCATCTTCTATACACGATAACATTTTCAAAATATTTTGATTTATTTTGAACAGTTTAGGGACATTTTCATTTTTAGTTTTTTTTTTGTTTTTTTTCTAGAAATATCAATAAAATTTTATTTGTTGGTTGCGAAAGCTTGAAAATTTAATAGAAGGCTCCTAATATATTGTTTCAAGGGCAGATGAAAAATATTAAAAATCCTTAGTCACAATTTTTTTTTATAAGCATTTAAAGTTCAAAAATTGACAAAATATGGAAAAATCACGAAAATTAGCAAATTATTTTGAGTTAAGAATTCGTAAAAATTTTTCTTTTTAAATCTAAGATTTGAAAATCTAATACAAGATTACTCATAAGATTGTCTACCTTTATCAATAA